TGGCGCCTGCGGTCACGCGGTCGGGGTCTCGTCGAACCGATATCGTGGCCGGGTGTCGGCGCGTGTACTTCATTAACACGCTCGTGTAGAGAACGTTTCAACGCAAAGGAGTTACTCAAGTTCCGCCCGAAAAAGAACAGCCCACGACCGGCACCGAGTGGACAAAAAACAACATTCTCCCAACGCCCCTGCATATATTACATGCACCATTTCTCTTTTGGCGAGGAAATCCTACTACTGCCGAGTGCTTGCTGGTCTACGTACGGTACATACACCTGGTTACGCACCAGTACAGCCAAACACTCCTAGATGAGATCACCTGGAACGCGCTCTGCCCATTGTTTGCATGCGAGCGGACCCCAGTCTAGCTTTCTTTCCTCTCCCGAAAAATTGAGTGGGACAGGAGATTGACGGGAGGGGAGAGGCAGAGGGCGTATAGACTAATGCGTTTGTTTCCTCCCGTCTGAACATGGAATAGAACTACTGTTGTTCTTGTGGTGAACGAGTGCATGGAGGGGGTAAAGCACCTGTCGATGGGCCCGACCAGGTGACAGGATGTGACAATGAAACACCCCCCCCCCAAGCAACCAACCAATCAAAGGTACAAAGCGTCGTCTGCGGTGAACTTGGGCTGGTTCTCATACTCATAGACGATGGCCCCCCACACGCCTTGGATGTCTAAGAACGTATACTGGTGTGTTTGAGCTACTGCTGTAGGAGGGGTGTTGCAAGGATGTGGTATGTGCAACGAGGACGGCGACTTGCCTCTTGGGTGCTGCCACCTGTGCAAAGAAGGATACTACCCGTTCACTGCAGGTGAAAATTGATTTTTGGGGTGGCCCGGGGGACCCATAGGACCCCAACAAACTGTAAGAACAAGAAAAAATTAAAGGAGCGGAGATAGCCGAGAGGGACGAAAGCAGCTACAGCAGCAGACTAGACGAAATGTAATGCTTGGGAAGGGAGAGAGTTCGCGAATCCTATGCAGCATATAGACTATTATATACATATGTACAAACACACACAAACTCCTTCTTATGTTGTTGGCGAGCATTGTTCCTCGAGGCCATCTCATGTACATACTGTCGAAATATCGGATATATATCGGCAGCGGCAAGGGCGGCACAATAAACCGGAGTCATAGACTAAAGGTCACTAACAGATATAGACTAGATACATGTTTGTCGTCATCAGCAATGGCCAAACCCAACCAATGTGACGTTCACCCACATAGTCGTGTGCAAAGGGCCCTTGCCCGACTGTAAGACGGTGTCGCCCATCAAGTGGCCGTTTGCCTGTCAGCCATGAACTATTGTTCGTCTGTGTCTCTGAACGCATCATTCCGTCCGGCCACGATGCGTCAATGTTTCTTGACACACTCAGAATCAGAAACAATAATAATACGAACGTTCGTCAATACCATTCTCGCGAAACCGCTCCTACGCCATGCCTACAGTCGCGTGCTAGCCACTTGTCCTGCAGGCCGCAGCTATGCTGTGCTTGGCAATGCACCTCGTCCTTTCTCCTCTGTCGGCTGTCATTTCGATCCTGACTCGTCCTCTGGTCACCAGTAGTATTATCCGTACATACTTTCGAAGTTAGAGGAGATCCTTCGAAATAATGTCTGTGGGAGGTTGGATTAGCAGAGCCTGTGTTTCCTATACTCTGTAGTTTTGATTGAGTGAGCGCTCTAACACCATCAAACCTGGGGGGTGATGTGGGTCACAACTCTACGAACCCAACCTACTTCGTCTTTCACCACAATCCTACAACCTTGGAGAACGTTCCCCACGTTCTCCCCGGAGAGATTGTCTCACGGAGCGATGTCGATGTCGCCAACGCTCCGAGCCACGAGGAGGCGTGCAACGTTACGAGGGACCTAAAGCCGTCTTCCACGAGGCTTCCTCGGATCGTTGACCGTGACTGTTGTCCGAGAGTGGTGCGAGGGCGTGCCCTCGCACACCTCTCACTCTTCACTTCTGTCCCCATCTCATCTCGAGATTCTGTCTCTTTACCGAGCATCACAGTCTGTCCGGTGATCGTAAACACCGCCCCATGTCTGTGACCGTTGCCTGAGTGGAACGCCTTTGGATACAGCGTTGGATATTCGCACATCCCTGCGGCAGGTGTCCCATGTGTAAAAGACGGGCAGAGTGTGTGCCCTTCTTGGCATCGGAGTATTATTAGATAGGTGACACCTTGTTCATGATAGGTGTCACCTATGATGCACCGTAAGAGAATACGTGACGAAGTACTTGCTCGATCGTGGGAAGCGAAGTTGTCTGACCGAGAGAGCACGTTTCCTTGATTGGCATTGGCAACCAAGGAGCGCGTTGGGTTCCTGATCCAAGCGAGGCATGCGGATTTAATCCAGCACAGCTTACGGAAAATGCGTCCGGATGCGACGGCGACTCTCGCTTGTGTTGTTGAGGGATGATGACAAGCGCCTGCCCATGGGTGTGTACTTGGGACAGCAGAGGAACCCTACTTATGGGCAGAAATATAAATCCAAGCTTTCAGGAGAAGAAGGCCATCTACAAAATAAGGGGGTAGACAAAGAGCCTCGCAAGCACGGCACCGACCTACGGAAGAAACTCTCACTTTGGCCTGCGTTAGCGTCAGTACCTCCTCTTCAGGGAAACTGACAGGACTACAAGGTAGTTGTGAGTAGTAGGTCTAGATCTAGAGTGTCTTCATGTTGAGAAGAAAAGAGAAAACTCTCGAGATGGTCATCTTATCTGTGAATTCTGTGAGCTCAAAAGAGTTTCAAAACCAATTTAGGCCAGCAAGCAACATGAAGGTCGATATGAGTTGAGCAACAAATAAAGTTATTATGAACCGGTTGCGTAGGAACACATACGGTTGACACGCTGATATGTGTCACGTAAAGATGCCGGCAAAACATCTATGGACCCTCCTGCCGATAGGGGCTTACGCCTCCCCCGGCACTCGCTCAAACGGGCTTGAACGGCCGTTTGGCCAAGCATGGCTCAAAGCGGAGATAGGTTATGCATACGGCAGCTCATGGCAGAAACCGACGCGGTTCAATCGTCGACCAATTTGTCCGTGATCTATGCTGCTTGCCGATAAAGAATATGCCATCCAAAAATGTTGCGATAAAAATTATTATCACGTGGTATTGTTTCTCTCCCCTTCTCTACTGCGTCTACGTACGCACGCAAGCAAGAAGGCCGAAGAAAAGCAAAACTCAAACCCAAACGATTTCGCAACAACGGGAAAACAAAGAAAAAACACTCCTCGTGCAAACGCGAATGCACAGTTCATGCATATCGTATCTCCCGTGGGCCAAGTCTCCCTTCCGGTCCTCGTCCTACTTCTGCCCCCGCACACGCACACACTACACGTGAAAACATGAAAAACAAGTCAAGCCACAACGGGACGCACAAGGCAGCACCTGCAGTACTCTTGTGGAGCGAACAAGAAACACGTCAAAACACACGGATGTATATGATGATGAGTTGACCGTCCAACGCGACCCTGTTGGCAGCGCTACCTGCGGGATGTCAAAACGATTCAGTCAGGCGTCAGATTCGCCCACATCAGCAGTAGTTGATCCATCCAATAAACACACGAAATGCATTTTCGAATTCTGAATCATCAGACCTTCCTCAACGATCGGAAAAAAAGCGTTGTGTGCGCCCTGTGTACGAAGCAGCCGTAGAGACAGATGGAAGACCCGTACAACTGAACATTGATGGAGTCTGCTTCATTTTTGCGCCTGCTGAAGCAGAGCAACCTTGCAGCCCTGCCTAACATGCGGTGGTATTATTCAACTCAACTTTGCCGGCCCGGACTCAATCCAGGCACCAGAAGAAAACAAAAAAAGAACAAGAAGCAGCGGCAAGTAACCTCTTTCCCTCTGCCGATCCGAACAAATAGCAACACCACCTGACAAGGGCTTGCAATGTCAACGCCCAACGTGCAAATGCACGGGGCAGTACACACAAGAGAAATAGCAAAGGTAGATCTGGCTGCCGCCCTCCCTTTCAACTCGCACAAAAGTCTTCCCTCTTCACAACCGTATCTTCGCGCTGCACATGTAGTCTTTTAACAGCAGTAGTTCGACTTCATGGAGCAACAACGTGTACGGGCGCGCCGAGATACACACTACAGCTGTAAATGTAGTTGTGACGTGGCCTGGCCACGTTAGCCCAAAACTGACTTCTGAACGACTCCTACTGCAGCGTTGGGACTGTACACGACACGATGAAGCAAACACACCATGAATCTCGCATACGTACATGTAGACTATCTTCATATGCATACAACATTCGAAATTTGGCGAGGAGGAGGAGGAGGAGCCAAGACCCCAAATCCGACCCCCAAGTATTTAATTGAGGGGGAGGAATGCCCACGATCAAAAGCAACGTCTTCACCCACTTGGATGTACGTACGCGAATCCTCTCCGAGCAAGCACACAATACAACGACAGCGTTCTTCCCAAGGGAAGAAACAGACAAGAGCGCACCTCCAACACGCAAATTTCGCGCGAAGACTCGATTTTTTTTTTGTGTCGTTAGCCGACAAGGAGGAGGCGTGACGTCACCACCACGCCACACCGTACACACAAAATCATCGCGAGAAAAAACTCTTACCGAACAAAGCACAGCTTAAATAAACAGCTACATGAGGACCGACACAGGCTCTCTGTTGCTGACCGTCTGGCCCGCTTTGATTGCTCACCGCAATCGCGCTCGACATATCGTTTGAGGATCGTCAACTAGCGGGACAGGGGGGTGTTCTTGATCCCGCCACAAGGATATCGAGATCTCGGCGAAGAAGCGGTGACCCACTGCGCTGGATCCTGGATCCCGCCTCGTCGAGGATTTGTGCACGTATCTCGTATCTCCACCGCCTCTGGAAAAAAG